CACACACACACACACACACACACACACACACACACACACACACACACGGAGAACGTTTATCTAAACTGATGAACATTCCAATGGCTCATTGCCCGGACGGGGTCCCTGTGCGTGTGTGCTGCCTCATCTATGAACCCAGCCTCTGGGTCAGTCTTTATCTCTGTGAACCCTTCCTGAGCCGGTCTGGAATGGGTGTCCCTCCAGAGCACCTGTTGACTCATTTCCCAGTGTCTAGAATTTGGGCCAGGCCAGGAACACAGCAGCTTCAGCAAATATTTAAGGACTTAAGGAAGGAATGCAGCTCATGAAGGAAGGATAATATTGGCTTTCTGGCCTCGGGGACTCTCCTGAAATCCTCTCCCCGACCTCTACCTCTGCTCCCCACTGAGGACGCCCATAAGGAGGCCTCAAGGCCCCTCAGTGGGGCCATTAGCAAGTGTCTGGCTTCCCATCTGCAAGCCATCTGTCCCTCCAGAACCAGCTCACTGGCTCTTCTCTGGGGAACTTTAGGTCGGAAGCTCCCTGGGGACTGGCTGCTGATCAGGGCTCCGAACACCTGCAGACACTGTCTCTGCGGTTAGCCTGCTCAGCTCAGTGCTGCCCAGCATGTGGACAGGGCAATCTGGAGGCCGTGGACTTGGCTGCCGTGGCCCCGCCCCTCCAGGCCCTGTCCCTTCTGGGCCCAGCTGCTCAGAAAAGCTCCTGCCCACCCACTGTGCCCTGTGTAAGACCCTGCAGGACACAGGAGTGGCAGGAGGGCACACAGAGAGGGCTGGCCTGGGCCCTCCCCTCCGCCTAGCCAGGGCCTTGCAAGGGCCGCTCCTGCTCACAGCAGGGGGACAGCCCTCCATCCTCACCATCAAGCAGATGAGCTCAGACAGTGCACAGCGGTCCCCAGTGGACTTTTGTTTTTGGAGACAGGATTTTACATAGCCCGGTCGGGCCTTGAACCCCCGACCCTCCTGTCTCTATCTCCTGGGTACAGGGCCTGCAGAGCAAGGGATCAGACCCCAGCCCCTCAGGCGGGACTGCTGACACATGAAGCCACAGCTCAGGTGAAGCGGGGAGTGGCAGCCCCGCACACTGGATAGTGTCCTTGCTTGGTGCTGGGGCCTGGAGTTTGTGAGCACAGCTCTGTCACTCAGCCTCAGAGACGAGGCTCCCGGCCCTCGCTCTGCCATGCGCTTGCTGGCCCTCAGTGTCCACGTGTGAAGGTGGCCCGCGTGACAAAACGATTCTCGATTTTCCAGAGCCTAGCACAGAGCCCGCCTCCTGCTGCACTCTGTGACCCCTCCCGCTCCGGCGGAGGTTGGGACGGTGACACCTTGGTCACAGTCTGTGCACAGGACACGTCCCCAGATACACTCAGCCTGCCCTGTGCCAGCCAAGGGGCTCATCGGCTGGGAGGGGGTCCAGGGGAGCCCCAGGACTACCCACCTACTGCCCGCACTCACCAGGATAGTTGTGACCACCAGAGTCTTGTTGGCTAGAGTCTGAGACAGGTTGATGTCCAGGGTGGTGGCATTCATGGCCAGGGTCCGGTTAGAGTACCACACCCCGATCTGCGGGCAGAGAGGTGCCGTCAGCAAAGAGCCTGTTCACGTTCCTGGTCGCCTCGAGGGCCCTGGATTCCGGCGCTCACCTCTCGGTGGCCCTGCCGGGCCTTCTCCAGGATGCGCAGCGTGTAGTTGGTCCTCTGCCCTTTGCTGTTGAACTCAACCCGCCCGGTCAGCCCGTCATACTCTACCTAGCAGGGCGGGAGGCGGGCAGAGGGAGGGGAGGCAGGGCCCAGAGATGAGCAGAAAGGCCCGGAAAAGATGCCCCAACAGCAGAGAGGGCACAGAGAGAAGAGGAAGAAACACAAGAGACGGAGCAGGGTCAAAGAGCGGACAACGCACAGGAGAGCAGACGCAGAGGAGCGAGATGCAGACGGCACCCAGTCCCGGCAGGACAGCGGCACAGTCAGACAGGACACAGGGTGAGGAGGAGGCCGGAGGACAGACAGTTGGGGAGAAGGCAGAGGGCAGGCAGGGGGAACACAGTCAGCGCCCTGCCCGAGGCGGCTCCTGCCTCCCCATCCCCCATGCTCCTGTCCACCCCCTTACCCCCTGTGCTCCTGGCCCCCCTCCCCTCCCCCCCTGTGCTCCCCCTCCCTCCCGTTTTCCCGTGTGTCTGACTGTGGGGCGGGGGCCA